CATGAAAAGATGGGAGTTACCTTACGAAGTAAGGGGGTCAGTGCTAACGAGGCTAATTCAGACAGAGTGGATGTAGCCTATTTCCAACAGTAGACAAGAAGGGGTGAATATCAACAGAGGGAAAATTACTTTTTGTAGTGACCCAGCCACTCCCAGTCTTTGTTCGGGCCTAATTTGATGGTGTCAAGTTTGCAAATTAATTCCAGTTTTGCAGTTTCTCGTTGAAGTCTGTTTTTGAAGTTTTTTTGTTGAAGAATGGCCACTTTTAAGTCTGTTATTGAGTGTCCAGGGAGATTGAAGTGCTCTCCTACTGGTTTTTTAATGTTAACCAGGGCTTTGGAGCTGTGCTCTGGCTCCGCTCCAGCTCCAGGCAAAAACCTGCAGCTCCACTGCTCCGGAGCTGCTCCGCGCTCCAGCTCCGGGCTCCGCTCCAAAGCCCTGAATGTTACAATTGTTGATGTCTGATTTGTGTCCATTTATTCTTTTGCATAGAGATTGTCCGGTTTGGCCAATGTACATGACAGAGGGGCATTGCTGGCACATGATGACATATGTCACATTGGTAGATGTGCAGGTGAACGAGCCCCTGATGGTGTGGCTGATGTGGTTAGGTCCTATGATGGTGTCCTTTGAATAGATATGCAGACAGAGGTGGCAATGGGGTTTGTTGCAGGGATTGGTTCCTGGATTAGTGTTTTCGTTATGTGGTGTGTAGTTGCTGGTGAGTATTTGCTTCAGGTTGGGGGGCTGTCTATAAGCAAGGACTGGCCTGTCTCCCAAGGTCTGTGAAAGTGAGGGATCGTCCTTCAGGATAGATTGTAGATCCTTGATGATATGCTGGAGAGGTTTTAGTTGGGTGTAGGTGACGGCTAGTGGCATTCTGTTACTTTCTTTGCTGGGCCTGTCCAAATCTTTCAGAAATCCTGCCAAACCTGAGAAAGCTTTCCCCCAATAACTGAAATAAGATTCACAGCATCGAACACCATTTTGTGCTTCCTTTAAAGCCCCAGACAGAGCTTCCAAAGAGAATAGCCAGAGATTCCATGCAGTCTGCTAGGGAATTAAAGATTTGCTGTTGTGGAAGGTACTCAGCTGGTGATGGCTGGCAATACAAAACCTTAAGATAGCTAGATAGATTAGCTAAAACTATAAAAGAAAGGAGAAAAGGACAGAACAAAAATATAACTGAATCTGTCATGATGGCAAAATGTATATCAATATTGCTATGTTCAGTGGAACTACAGTGTGAAACATCCCTTGTTTTGAAGTGCAAACTTCCTGAAAAATCATGAATATTACCCTGAAAATGGTTATTTTGTATTAAAGCCGAAACAGTTGAGGTGCGTACATTCACAAATATAGATAAATAGATTGTACTCTTCTAATATTTCTAACATTAGAAGTACAGTATTCAGCAGTGTTTATACCAAAATGCATAAATCTAGAATAGAAATATTAACAAGACTCAATCTTGAACCCCAATTAGTGCCAAACTCTGCTTCCAGATCCATGCCTTTTACCCTAAGTGAAGTGAACGGGATTTGTGCATGCACACCTGCAGTGGTGCCAATTCAGATATTTCTTGGGGAGGTCAAATTCTAGTCCCCTCCCAGCCAGGACCCCATTCCTGCCCTATTTTATCCCCTCCCCCTCCTCCCAGAGGAACACTGGGTCTCCCTCAGCCAGGGAATCTCTCCTCTCTCTTACTCATAGTGCATGAGCTGGTGCTGCCAGGAGTCGAGTTCTCAGGGGACTCCTCTGTGCCCCACTGTACAGGAGCAGACTCCCTGTGTGCCAGGTCACAATGCTATTCACTGATTTGGCCCAGCCACCCCTCCGTCTGTATGGAGGGGAAGTCGAGTCAAATTTCACTGGCGTTGTGACCACTGAGCTAGTCATGATTTTCAAGGTTTTCTCTGCAACCAGAAGACCTAAAATTTACTTTTTTTTTTTCAAATGAAAGCTGAGAGTCTAATCTAGCCACATGCCTCCAGGAACTTTAAGAAAAACACCAAATATCACGAGACTTGTGTTAATATCACAAGAGTTGGCAACTGTAGAGACACACACACCCTGTGCCAATGTGCGCTCTTATGGAGACTTCACTTTTGTTCTTTCTTGATTTTGTTTTTCTTAGTCTACTCTAAAATAACAGTTATTTAAATTGAAAATACAGGTTGCTCTATATGTCTGGAAAAAACATAACAATCAGCGTAAAGAAATCAAGCTGCATTAAATCGATCAGATTCGTTATATAAGACCTGCTTCCAATATCACTGAAGTCAGCCAAGTTTGTTCGCTGACTTTTATAGGCTTTGTATTGGGGGCCACATTTACAAAAATATTTAGGGACTTATGATGCAGACAGATATCTAGCTGGAGTTAAATGCCTAACTTGTTCAGGCCCTTTAGTAAATACCACTAGGTGCACTTATATGCATCTTTAAGTACCTAAATACCTTGGTAAATCTTGCCCCAGGCCCATAAAATAAGTCAGTTTCACAAATTTTAGATAAGCAATCTTCTCTGGTTACATGTATCAGGAGTGGGTCTAGATCTTCAAAATCATCAATTAAGGATGTTTATTTGCTAAAAGAGAAAAAAAAGTGTTATCAAATTTCTAAGCAGACCTAGTAGAATAATTCATTGTAAATATTTGTTATGAATTATAGTCTGTTTTCTATTTACAAACACATTTGTATAACTCAACCCGTGCTGCAGATGGCTAAATAGTATTCATTGCAATTTTTTTATCTTCATTGAATAATTTGAAAATACACAAGCTCTACTTGCAAGTAGCTGAAGTCTAATTGCTTAGCTACATCCACACCAACTAAACAGAAGAAAAAATCCAAGTCAAGTGTTTCATGTGCAAGTGTGTTTAAAAACTCTATAATCTATGACAAACGTTTCATATTAAAAGGACATTCCCACAGGCAATGAAATAATGAAGCCCTTAGTATCAGGCATTCCAGGCATGAAGATGATAGCTATTTCAACATTTTATTTACTCTCAAAGGAGAATAATAAATTCTGAAAGCAATATGTGTATATTTATGACAAACTGAGGGCCCAGTCATGCAACTCAATCCTGAAAGCATAAGTGTGTTCCATTGAAATCATTGGGGCTGGATCTGGTTTCAGGACTTCATGTACTTTATAAATTGCCTCCTACCAGTCTATGACCAGAATCCTGCAAAGATTTATGCCTAATTTTATACATTTGAGTAGTCTCATTGACTTCAGTGGGATTACTCCTATGTGTAAAATTACTCATGTGCATGAGTGTTTGCAGGATCAGGGTCTAAATCAGAAATTTGTGCTCCAATACCATGGTGATGGATATAGTATGAAAACCTAGGTGGATGGATGGTTACACAGTCAGATACAGTACTGGATAGGTCTTTACTCCAGGTTTGTCTTGATACAAAGCCTTTATGGAAAAGTCCTATAGAATTTAATAGAGAATTGAGAATTCTTTAGCTATAGAATTTTATAATGCTCTACGAAATTCTAGTAGATGATTTAAAATAGAGTTCTATAGAAATCACCCAACTCCCACCTGTTTATGCTCTCTGTCTGTGTGTGTATATATATCTCCTCAATATATGTTCCACTCTATATGCATCCGAAGAAGTGGGCTGTAGTCCACGAAAGCTTATGCTCTAATAAATTTGTTAGTCTCTAAGGTGCCACAAGTCCTCCTGTTCTTCTTTTTCCAAACCCTATAGAATCTAATAGGATGAGATCCTTTCTATAGAATGTTTAAACCATCCTATAGAATGCTGGAGCAGGGATACAATTCTCTATTAATACATCCTATAGGATGCCTTAAACATTCAATAGAAAGTAGATCATTCATTATTAAATCCCATAGGGTTTTAGAATAATTTCGACAGACCCCTATTACGTTTCTCTAGAACCCGACTTCGTTTCATCCCTAGTTATAATCCTAATAGGGCTTCTTCCATAAAAAGAAGCGACTTCTGTGCTTGCTCTGTTTAAAACGTGTTTGGTGAAGAAGAAGTAGCTATCAAACATTTAGGGTGAATTACAAATTGTTTTTCCCTTAAATCTGCCTGAGATTGTGACAATAGACTCAATGAGATGAACCTTTGGCCACAAAATCCACCTCTAGTTGGAGGCTGATATAAACACGGCGTTCAACGTACCAGTGGCTCCTGCGACTCGGGGAAGGGGGGTGGGGTAATCAGCGCAGCCCACGCCCCTCTCACTCCATTGGGTCACCAGCAAGAGCTGCACGACCGCCCCCCTCGTCCCGCCTCCAGAGTCCAGCCCCGGCTCTGCGCTCCGCATTCCCCTCGCTCAGGGGCGCGTCCCGCTCGCTGCCTTTGGAGAAGTTTTGCTCCAGCTCCACGTGTGGCAGCAGCTGGAGGCGAGAGGGGCGGTGACAGCAGCCCCGGAGCGCTCCCCAGCCCCCCTAGGCAGGTCTCGTCAGCCCAGGTGGCAAGAGAGCGGAGCCAGAGGCTGCAGCCGGAGGAGGGAGGCGAAGCCGGGAGCCTGGAGTGGCTCTGTCCCGTTGGTTCGCAGCGATTCTCCCTGCCGGGGGTGCACAGGGGGTGGTGGGGCTGTGGCGAGCAGCGGCCTCAGTCGTGCAGACTGTGACATCCCCCCACCCCCCGCCAGGAGACTGGCCGGGCGGGGGCCGGCGATAGGTAGGACCGGGACCTGAGCTCAGGGACTCCGTTAGCGACTCGCCCTTGGCTGGGAGACGGGATCTGTTCGCGTCGGGGCTTCCCCTCCTGCGGGGCTCGGCAGGAGCCGCCTGCGGATGATGCCCCCCTGAAGCATCACCCTTAAGAGACCGGTGGGGGGGGGACACAACCCGAGCCCCCTCCCAATTCCAGGGCAGTGACAATGCGGCCCGGGGCAGCCCTGCGCCCCCCCGCTCGCTGCTGACTCCGGGGGCGGGGGGCATGGCACCTGGCTGGGGGGCCGCCTAGCATGGCCGGGGGGCCGGGCAGATGCCTCGGGCTAGCATGGCAGGGAACGGGCCGCCTGCCCCCGCCGCCTGCCCCGAGCCTCTGCCCCGCAGCGTCTTCAAGAAGTTCCTGCTTATGCTCATGTCCCTGCTCATGTCCCTCTACGTCTTCTACTGCCTGGCCGAGCGCTGCCCCAGCTTGCC